GCGGCTCGCGCCCGTCTCTGGGGCTCCTTTAAGTGGCGCTCTTAATCCTCTCTCCTCGCGCACCAGGAAACAAAGAGGGAAGAAAAAGTCTCTTGCCTCTTCGGCATGTCCAGACTTTTCCCCGGACTCCCTCCCGGCTAGCCGTGGCGCACTAACCCCTTCAGGGCTGTGTTCACCCCGCCAGTCCTCTCCCTGCGATCCGACGGAAGCCCGAGCCTCAGCTCCCAGCCCCGCCCGCCCCGGCGGGTGAGCAGACAAGCCTCTCGGGCTGGTGAGTGCCGGTCGGCACCGATCCTCTGTGCGGGAATCTCTCCGCTTTGCCCTCTGCACCCCTGTTGCTGCGCTCACCTCCGTGGCTCCCGTGAAGTTTGTTTAGATCTGGATCCAAACACAGTAATAAGACATTTTTGAGACAGAAAAGTTTCAACACAGACTTCTGATAGACGATATTAACATATTATTATAAAATTGTCTTAGATATTTATGTGGTTATATTTTTATTAATTCCTCATCCATTAGAGATACAGAATTCATGCATGGAAAAATTTGCTGTCTGAGATTTGCATAAAGTAAAAAGGGGGAAGATGAGGGGCATAGATGAAAGAAGAATGGGGACATTTTGAAATTACTGAATTGCGTGATGGGCATTTACTACACTCTCTATTTTATGTATAAAATGTTTAGTTTGTTTTTAAAGAGACTTCTACACCTGTCCAGGTGGAGATGGTGGTGACTTGGACAGAATGGTTATGGTAAAGGAAGGAAAGAAGATCAGATTCAGGGTATATTTTCAAGGTAAAGCTGACAACTTGCTGGTGGATAAAATGTGAAAGAAAGAATCAAGGGTAAGTTTAAGTGTTTGGCTGAAGTAAATGGACAGTGCCATTTACTGACATGGGAGTGGACAGGGGAAGGCTTGGTTGGCTGAAATCAGGGGAGATGTTGTCACAGACATTTTGGGAAACTATGACCAACCATGATGTTGCTTTAATTTAGAAACATGTAAAATGTGCCCCCCCCAATACATTTTTAAATGTACATGAAGAAAATAGAGAATGCTGAATTAATAAATGAACATAGAATTTCTTTTATTTTAAATAGCAAAACCTGGTCCAGTGACCACCACCCATTCAAGCTGTATAAAATAAGGCTGGAGGGCTTCCCTGTGGCGCAGTGGTTGAGAGTCTGCTTGCCGATGCAGGGGATGTGGGTTCGTGCCCCGGTCCGGGAGGATCCCACATGCCGCGGAGCCGCTGGGCCCCTGAGCCTTGGCCGCTGTGCCTGTGCGTCCGGAGCCTGTGCTCCGCAATGGGAGAGGCCACAACAGTG